GTAGTAATGCAACGTGTGGTAATCCAACGCGTGGTAATTCTACGCGTGGTAATTCTACGCGTGGTAATTCGACACGTAATTCGACGCGTAGTAATTCTACGCGTGGTAATTCGACGCGTGGTAGTTCGATGCGTGGTAATTCCATGCGTCTATTCGACGCGTGGTGAATTCGGTGCGTGCTATATTCGACGCGTGGTAATTCGATGCGTGGTAATTCGACGCGTGGTAATTCGACGCGTGGTAGTTCGATGCGTGGTAATTCGATGCGTGGTAATTCGATGCGATGGTAATTCGATGCGTAGTAATTCCATGCGTGCTAATTCAATGCGTGGTAATTCGATGCGTGGTAATTCTACGTGTAGTAATTCGACGCGTGGTAATTCGAATGCGTGGTAATTCGACGCGTGGTAATTCGACGCGTGGTAATTCGACACCGTGGTAATTCGACGCGTGGTAATTCGACACCGTGGTAATTCGACACCGTGGTAATTCGATACCGTAGTAATTCGACGCGTGGTTTACTAAAAATTTCCGTAAAAATTGTTTACACTGTTCATTAATTAACGTAACGCTCAAGATCATAGTAGAGCATCGTTAATTATGTTCCAACGGTGTCGTCGAGATTTTTATCGCGTTTGTTGCACGAATACCATACACAATGAGATTATCGTTATCGTATTCATAATTTTTCCTGAGAAATGTTTTGGAGAGAAATTCTTATCGATGTACTACGGCTATTTATAGCATACTAATGTGCACGTATTTATGGAACATATAATTAAAATATTATATATGTAGATCGTATATTTTAATTGTATATTTAATTGATAATTATCGAGGTTCGTGCAGGAATTTAATTTTAGTCGCTATGAGTGAATTATTAATTCAATGTTACGTACTTCGTTAATGACATAACCTGACTTAGCGTAACCTACTTCTAAGCTAGCATAACCTAATTCTATTCTATCGTAATATAAAACTTCCTATCCTAACATAGCACAATCCTAGCCTAACCTAATATCAATTCTCCCTCAATGTAACCTAACCTCAACATAAGAAAATTTATATCCACGCAAAATTAATGATTATTTTCATTTATCAAAGTGAAGAAATTTTTAATAATATATCTACATAAAAATTGTCACCATATATAAAGTGAAAGTTTGATATATCAAAACAATTGTACAGCGTAAGAACATTGAACGATAAGTAATCAGAACTCCGTAGACTGTCTTCAGCGTCGACTATGGTGCTTAACGTTATCAATAGTAGTTACGCATATCTTTGATCGTGCGGCCGAGTGTAATTAAGAATGGCGGTATGCGCAATATAAATTACTCCTTTTAGCGCTTTAAATTGCCGTGCAGGCATGCAAATGTTACAGTACCTAGTCGTACACGTATTCATAATTGATTGTTATTATCACCGAAGTTACCGTAATCCGAACTTTCGTTTGGCCGTGTATATTTATTTCCCGGGCCCAGGAAGTCGAAGAAAGTTTATTGTTATTGCGTTTCATTATAACCGGTAATTCGTCGGCAAAAATGCACGTTCCCTTCCACGAAACATTGTAACGATCGCATAATTCGGGTTATTATTACCCGCTGGAAACGATTATCCATACTTTATGCGAGCCTCTGCGATACACGTATAGTCATTTTACACAATCTTATATAGCCTACGTTGTAATTAAGCTATTACGAGGTTTACCATCCACATATTTCTCTGGCGCTCATGTTTAACCTTAGGCTTATTCGGACGGGGTAAACACCCCGATAAAAATCTGCTTTGGGAACAAAATCGTATCATTTTTTTAAAAAGTCCGAAAATTTAGAGGTTAGATTATGGACTCACGCGAACAGGTATATAATTTTCATAATGTATTTCATGTTGCTTACTTGCGAGGAAGTGCAAGTAA